CTTCGAATGGAGCTGAAGTCAGTTAGGATTTATTCTTTGCAATTGATAGTTCTCGGTTCAAGTACCTTAAATAAATAGGGGTTGTTTTAGAGACTATTTTTGGTCTCTAATTTGTTGTGTCAAAAAGCAAAACAATCGTTTCGGAAGTGGCTGGAACGCACGTTGGAAAGTGAAAGCTTTGTTTTTCTAAGAATAAACGTTTCAGTTACGATATTAGTCAATTGTTGTCGTTTCTTTTATAAGTTGTTAGGAACATTCAGTTGGAAACCGGCGATGTCTAAAATAACTGGCCTTAGTACATATTTGTCTTGTCTCTTGTAAGCACTGCAAATGTATGAACAATGGAATTTTCTGCATTTCTAAGTCTGGTGGTAAAAGCTTTCGCTGACTTTGAGCACAGCCCTGTCCTAATCCTATTGCGAAGATAATACTGGCATTTTGTCAACTGTAATAAAAATAAAATGATAAATCAACTTGCAATCAGGTTTGAAATTCAACCCCACATCAACTGGCAAACAAATGCTTTCCTCTGGCATTTGAAACTGACGGAAGCGCTCTCAGCGGAAAATTGTAACTTCGTTGACTATTTATCTAGTCAACAATATCTTATGATTCCTAGAACTGGACCCGAAAATACAGAGTATCTAGGTTCAAGTAGCAACGTTTTTGCTACTCTCTCCCAGATCAAGGATTAAGTTTCAGTGTTTATGAGATTTTTAAATAGTTCCACTAGGTTGGAAAACGAAGCAACGTGCAGGTTACCTCATAATCTCCAGTATTTTTCGTCCCGTCAATCACCTTCAACACATGCGCAATATTGTTTTGATTTTCCCAGAAATTCGGATTAAGCTCAACCAAGCGTGGAAGAACAGATTACAGTTCTTCGCGATTGTGCACCGCTGAAACAAAATCCCGAGCATTGCGCTTGCAGTTTGCTCGAGAAGTACACGTTACACAATGGACCAACACAAGAAATCAAATGCGCGTCGCATTTTCGTCAACATTGTGATTGTTTTAGCATTGTCATACATCATAACAGTGACGTTTTTTGTGGTTCATCAACACCAGTTGGCAGTCTTGCAGTCCGACATCGTGAGGCGACTTGAAGCTCGTGTTGAAAAGTTGGAAAACAACGACTTTGCAGCTCAGAAAAAGGAAAGAGACTCTGTGGGTGAAGCCGATCGTGTTATGGAGGGGAAATCTGCGCGTTTAAAAGCCAAGGTGAGAGAACCGGCTTGACGGTGCGAATTTAGTGAAGTCCTAAGCTTTTTGTTTATTTAAGTATTGTCGTGAATGGTGATGTTGCTCATCTGCGTTCTGAGAACTGATTCACTCGTGAGGCCCGATGAAACAAAATGTTCTTTCGTTTTTGCAGCTCGCCGTTCCTGATCTTTCTCGTGGCAGAGACAAAAGACAGTTTGAGGGTTACTGCCCGTGTTTGCAAGGTAATCTTTGGGTGCTAGATATACAAAATATTTTAAAAATTCAGCTATGATTACACAAAGAGACGTATTTAATAAAACGATTGGATTGAAACAAACAAGGAGATTCACGCAAAGAGCAATTTTTTCGTGGCTTTTTATGAAAGGATTCCATTATTCTCGCAGAACAATGAACGATCGACAAATCGACCACTGTTTGATCTTTAGACTTTGTTTACTTCCGCGTTCGGTGCCTGCAAGTCGCCAGTTCGTGAACTAATTAGCTTTTACCAGCCCCCACAAAGTAATGCACTTACTTATCATTTAAGCATGTTGAAATTGGACTCTTGGTGACGAGAAAAACAACTGTTTAGGAGCATTCTATTTCAGTAACCTCCTTGAGGCAAACTTCAAATTTGGTGACCTTTTCATGAGCCCGATCCTAAATCAGGCGTGAAACCACGTCGCTGATAGATTTCAGCGTCAAAGTTTTCCCTGGGAAATTTCTTTTGGCAGAAATCCTTTATTGCTGAAGACGTTTCAAATGTTTGGCACAAGGTTAAGAACCTCACAGCCGGCAAGGCCTCTTTTCAATCAAGATGTTGACGTGACAATTGCCACTAGTAGCTTTGGCAAACTTCCATAAAATAACGTCTCGCCAAGTATGTCTGAGAAGGTGATAAATACGAGCAAATAAAATACAAACGAGTTTTTAATAGTGTCATCGATGACAGCTAACGAATGAGGAAACATCGTGTTCAATTGACCTCCAAACTATCATTTTACCTTTCACGGTGCAAAACTGCGACAAAATATCACTGACTCACCGGCATTAATTGTACGTCAAAGAGAACAATAGACATTATAATTCATCTACATTTTGTATAATTTGCATACATTGATAACTTGACCTTGAGAATATTGTTGAGGTTCGGCTCAATTGGAAACCTCACATTGTTTTCAATCCACCACCTCTTCCGATTCAATTGAATTTCGCTAAAAGGTCAGACATAAGTTTCCAACCCCCTATTCAGACGTGATAAACACGTGCCAGACAAGAGGTGATTGTGTTTGACGACCTTGCCGATTCTTAAGAAATACTGTATGAGACGACGGACTCTTGCAAAATGGGACCGTCGGAGGATGAGAATATCATTCCGCAGTGATTTCAATATTTTTTACCCTTCAAGTTTGTAGAAGTTTTTGAAAACAAGCGATAATAACCGAGCGGAGTTAGTTTTACTGAATCAAAATTAGAAATAAACGACATATTGACCGGGCAAATTACATGCAATGGGAACTAACTCATGGTTTTAAGTGAACTGGAGTGTTCGGCTGTACTCAGAGTGTACCATTTTCTATATTACGAAAACGCGTCACGTGATATTATATCATCAAATATCTTTTCACCTACGCCTTAAAATTGAGTAAGACTTTGAAAACTCTCCGTTTGTAATTTCATAGCACACACAAAACGGTAAATTTAGAATAAGTAGGAACACTTAAACATTCTACAATCAGCACGTGCTTGTCCTATAGTTTCTTACAATTTTATTTTCCCTTTTTCCAGGCCCCAAGGGAGACGCTGGACCACCAGGTGAGAGCTGCAACAAATCCCCTTTTTCTCTCCCATTATGAAAAAAAAAAAAACGCTGGAAACGTTTAGACTTCATTTGTTGCATCATTTTTGTTTCTAGCTCTTCCTATGTAATGCTAGGAAACGCATTCAGTTCATATATGTTAGCCTGCTTTTGAGGAATCTAAATAAACACAGTGTTAAGAAATCCTTGAGATTCGATGAATAAAACTGGCACATATCTCTGTCAGTTCATGATCATTTTGTAACTATTCCGCGCCAGAAAAACAAGTTTGCCCTGGTCTGTGTGTGTGTACCTCTATTTCCTTTTGAGAGAGCTGATCCATTTGGTCTCGATATGAACACACTAAACAAGGAACATTTCCGAGCATTTTTTTTTTAAACGCATGCGATTAATTATATTTCCCTGCAGTGATTGTTCGGAACATAGTCTGAGAAACTTGTTAGGAATTTCCCTCCCAAGATTATAGCAATTTTTAATACGTGCTCACAGTTAAACGATAATACAGTAATGTAACTATTTTTGTCAAGTATGAAATTCTATTCAATATAAATCAAAAGCTAATTTTTTTTTTCCGCGTTTATCTTAGGTCGGCGAGGCAAGAAAGGTAAAAGAGGTTAGTTTGGTGAAAAGGGATGATCATTAAACAAATGCTGCCATGAAATAAAAGAGAACAAGCACTTACAGTTACGCTCGTCAAAAATAAAGAAAGCTGGACACTAACTAGAGAATGGTTATGTTTAAGTTAGTGTTTTGGCGTTGGAATGAAAGTTCAAAAAAATTCACTTGCAGTGCATTACCAAATAGTAGAAGTGCGGTGCGTTTAACCGATTGGTTAATCACCAAATGGCACCTTTTTCGTAGGGCACAAGGGAGACCAAGGCCCAGCTGGTCCTGAAGGTCCAAAGGGAGAACCAGGAATTAACGGGGAGCCTGGTATCAAGGGGACGCAAGGTGGGTTTGACATGAAAAGTCATAACGATACAATTTGATGCAAATGGACGGGCTGGCTGATGCGAGGTTAACTTCAAACACTGACTGTATCTCAGTAGTCAGGAGATGAATTGGCAAATGGAATTCCCTTGATAATCTTCCAACAATCTAAAACATATTTTGTGACATAATATTGTACGCAGTTGAGTGATAGACCCCAAAAATACTTGATCAACTATCGGTGAATTACTGAATTAGTTAAATGTTCGATTAAAATGACCTTTATTCAAAACTTTAACTTGCTCAATGCGGCCTATACTAAATGGTGACAGTTTAGGAACAATGTAAGGTTTACTTACTCTGATTGCATTTATACCATTTATCCAGGCGTCGGCATTTTACTTCAGATTCCAACCACTAGTGGTGAAGTTAGGACACCATCTAACTGCCCCTCTTAACCCTAAAACACAATTATGAAACCGTGCATTGTCAGCAGCATACCTCATTGTAATACTTTATATGACAGGTGAGCAAGGGCCCAAAGGTCCCAAGGGATTGAATGGGATAAATGGTACTCAGGGCCCCGCTGGTCCTCCCGGCGCCGCTGGCGTTAAAGGGGACAGGGGAGAAGTGGGCATTCAAGGACCTAAAGGAAACCCAGGTTGGTATTGAAGTGACTTATTTCTCCAATTGTAGGTTACGAGATTTGTGCCGTTTAGCGGATTACCTCGTTACAACTGACACACTGGCTTAATGTTGCAACGTAGTGACGAGCTAGGGCGGCACTGTACTGTGTAACACGAGGCGCTATTCCAGCCCTGCAAGGCACCACTGAGTGTCAGTGTGGCGTGATATTTTACATTCACAGTGCTTTTTTTTCCAACCCGGCAAGAGTGTAAAAATACGCACTGGTGAACTGCCAGGGAAACAACAAAATATTAAGTGGTGACCGACGTTAGATTCGTATTTATTCAGGAGGAGAAGCAATATTTGAAGTTGCTCCATGCTATCAAAATCAGAATGCACTTAAGCTGCCTGGGCCTTTCAGTGGCGTTGCTATTAGTTTCAGTGAATAAAGTGCTCTAGTTGTCTGCCTTCGTTCGGGGTCTGATCAGCGGTGGGCAGATAGGAAACACGTACATTTCCATTATCTAAGGTATTCATAGTTTTGTTCTTTGTTTTTGGTTTTTATCAGGACCACCTGGAGCTTCGGTGAGTTTGTTGTTGATTTCAGGGGGCTTCGTCACTCTTTTCTGAGTAAATTGTTCAGGATTGTCTCAAAGTAGAGTTTTGATTTAAATAGTTTAACAAGGTAGAAAAACACTGAAGAGGTAAACAATAAGCCAAAACGAAAACCATTCGGCTATTTGTCTTTTGATTTGAGCATTCTGTATTTCACTTTTTTAATAACCTTGTAACAAACTAGAGAAATTTCCTTATGCTGAATACTTGGAAATTGAACACTCTCCGGCCAGTCAGAGGACAAGTGGAGAAAACAATCAACCATATCTCGATAGAATGCGGAAGTATATTGGTAGATCACAGACTAATGAAGAAATCTTTGGCTTGCACCTTATCAGTCTTGTTTCCAATTTGTTATCTAAAATCTAATGCAAAGGATTCTCTTTACTGCTATTTAGATGAGCGAGAGCATCCAACTTGTTGGTGACGGACAGAAAATTCAAAATCCAAGTAATGTGCTCATCGTTTACGTAATATTTCAACCTTAATCGTTTCGTAAAATGCATTCAATTTTTTCTTTAGCTAACGAGGTACGATTTCTTCAGCAGGGATTCACCGCATTTCGAACTGGGACGAGAGGCACAGAGAAGGCAGCATCGAATATCACCCGAGCACCGGATTCATAGAAGTAAAGAGAAAAGGCTACTACTTCATCTACAGTCAAATGTACTATTATGATGGCTCCACCGTGCTGATGGGTCATCATACCTATATCAATCACGACAAGGTCATGGAAAGTGCGGGGAGTGTTATAAGTTCCCAACGGAAGTACAACACCAAGTATCATGGTGGAGTTTTCTTGCTGCAGGAAAACGACACCATATCAGTCCACATACCCTACACTACACGTTACTACATGGATAGTGAGGGCAGTTTCTTTGGGGCATTTCTGCTCCATCGTATCGATTAGATAGAGGCAATGGCAAAGAGGCCATACCTCTTTTGAACTTGAAGGGAGAATTTGTGCCCCTTCATTGTCTATACTCTACCATTCTTTAGCACTTAGTCTGTTTTTGGCTTGGTAGGCAATTTAGACCCTTGTTCAGTTCAGTCTGAGATTGGCCTTCCATGTCAAAAGAGTTTGAAGGAAGGAAGGAAGGAAAATTCTCATTTATGGTACAGTTTCATCATTTACCGGATAGCAAGAGGGTTTACATAAAAAAACCTTTCCGTAGGTCGCTTCAAGTAATGCTACTTTTTGGAGATTCGTTTGATATTTAGGCCGATACACACAAGGAAATTACCCTGTATTTGATATCTTTCTGCGGAATGCAAATTTTTCTGTTTGTAGCTGTCTGATAGGCCACGATGCAGAGATATATTTCCGTGTTCCAGGCTTGAAGTTAAACGTGTTCTGTCCACTTGTCACGTGGTCTTGATGCCGCCCGATCTGTGCCTCTTGCTGGTTCCTCTTGCACGCCTCTTTCAAGCCTCTTTCAACTTGACAAGATCTGTGTTGAACTTGTTCCCAAAGGAAATGGGACATTGCTTTAATCCAGATTACTGTCAGAGCAGTAACACGTGATAAAATGTTATACAGTAGCGTAGGAGAGAGAATACATAACCATCGACACACAGGTTCGAAGTGCGTGACATAAGTTTCGCGGTAGTGCGTGATTCGTTTACCAATCGTGATTCAGCCATGACAATGATATTTTGGAGACCTTTCAAAGCATGCAGGAAAAAATTAAGTACGCATCAATCGTTAATGAGCACAAATTTACTTTTGGAGTAACAGTAGTGAAAATCATCATCGCAATTAGTTTCTTCCTCAAACATTCAGGATTTCAATTTATGATCGTAAAAGTTAGCAGTAATTTTTCCATCAAGACTGAGTTTATTTCATTTCAGTCACAAGACGCACGGTGAGGAACTGGCAAGTGAAACACAGATCAGGCAAACTTCAATTCAATCAAGGCTTCGTTCGCATACAAATTGCTGGATTTTATTTCGTGTACTCCCAGATGTTTTATCACGACGGTTTACCATATCAAGTTAGCCATCAATTGTTCGTCAACTCGGATAAATTCATGGAAAGCACTTCTGCTGTTGTTAGCGAGGACCGAAAATATAACACAAACTACAATGGTGGAGTGGTATTTCTAAACACCACAGACACCGTCTCTGTTCAAACTCCATTTTCAAATCACTATTTCATGAATCCCAGTTCGAGTTATTTCGGCTTATTTTTGCTCCATCCTACTGAAACTTGACCCTCAGATTCGAAACTGTTTTCGCGGTATAGACAGCTACAATTCTATCACATGTTTAGGCAGCAGAGTCTTCCTGTGATATTCTGGGAACTAGATTATTGTTTAGACTCAGTTGGTCACGATTGTGGTTTTTGAATAATTTTGATTTGATCTTTTTGTAACCTACCTACGAGATATCGTACTTACACCTAAAAAATAAACTTTCCGTTCACCCCTGTAAAGATTCAAGGCTACAGGCCACTCGTTTTTGACTCGCACTTTTGACCAGCAAATCCACAGAATTTTTGGAAAACTTGTTGGTGCGTGGCTATTTTTAAACTGGTGCAAACATTTTTCCTTTTATAGGTGAATTGCTGTGTCCTCCAATGCAAAAACTGTCCAACTAAATTTTCCGTGGACACAACACTTGACGACCTGTCAGGAATGTTTCGTAGACTCGCTTTGTCTCAAAAGATGGTGTAAGTTAGATTCTTCTCAGTACAGCTTACATAAAGCCCTTTGATATTCAAACGTATTGTATTATAACACTTACATTTCAGTATCGCTGAATTTTTACAAGAAAGGAAATCGACTGCTATGCAAGTTAACTTTTGATATTTTGATTCGACGACTATATCCAGTATCGTTTTTAGTAGGCCTTTGATTTCTCTCGTTAGATTTTTAGAACTTATTAGGGTGTGGTAATCTCTCGATAGAGCCAGGTGCGATACCATGTTTTCCATCACTTTACAAAGTAAGTTTCTTAAACGGATGAAAGCCCAACCTACTGTTCTAAAGTAAAAGGAGGATGAACATCGAAAAAAGGAATAAAGCTTTTTAAGCATCAAGAACATTAACTCAGTGTATAATTGACGAAAACGAAACTTATGCAAATTCAATCAAGGTGCGGCAGTATTTTACTTGAAGTTTACGTTACCATGGTGTCTAATACTGAGGAACGTATTTTAAAGTTGTTTTGTATTCATTGTCGCGGTAATGTTTTCGTAAAATATTTGCTGGAATGGAAATAAAGTTAGCTCTTGCTTATGTTCTGCATACATTAAATTATACCGCTGACCTTCCTCCCCCTCCCTCCCCTCCCCCCCTCTCTCTCTCCCTGCATACAATAGCTTTCATCCCCTTACAAACTCTTATCAAGGAAAGGTAAATAGTGCGATGTATATCTATATTAATAATAATAATGATAATAATAATAACAATAATAATAATAACAATAATAATAAGGATGAGAGTTTGAGTGCCGATGGGTGTTTCTGGTGGCTCACAGAGTGGAAGAACTGCCCATCACACACAATTGCTGGATCTGTCGAGCTATACGAGCAGCTATTGCCAACGCGAGTTTACACGAGTCAGAAGACCTACACCAGTGGGTAAGGCGAGGTGAGGTGCAGATTATGCGGCAAGGCTTCAGAGAGCGTGGCTCATATCTTGTCAGGATGCAGTGCGCTGGCCCAGAGCAAGTATCTCTCTAGACACGACGCAGCACTGAAGGTACTGTTTTACGAACTGTTGTATGATGAGGGATTTATAGACGAGATACCACCCTGTACTCACCCGACAAGCCGAAGCCCGTGTATGAGTCAGAGAATGTTGAAGCTTATTGGGATGTCCCTATATATGCTGATCAACAAGAGGTCAGATGCAATAGGGTGGATGCACGCATTGTAAATCATATGTGCAAGAGAGTTGTGACGTCGGAAATGAGCTGCCCATGGGTTAACAATCGGGCAAGAAAGGATGAAGAGAAGACACTGAAGTACGGACCTCTTCGCTGAGAACTACGGGAGCAGTTCCCAGGCTACGAGGTGAGGCAATATAACATCATTATGGATGCCCTCGGGGGGTGGTCACGGGAGCTGGATGTCATGATGCGCGAGCTGGTGGGAGGCAGAAGCACAGACGTACTGCGAAAGATGCAGAGGGCAGTGCTCTCGGGCACGCTGAATATTGCCCGGACTTTCAAGGTGGCAGTTTGAGTTCCTGTTGGAAGGAGGACCGTAGACACAACGGAAAAGCTTTTTAGGATTAGTTAATGTACATTTATTTTGTACTCCATGGCTCACAAGCTACGGTTTTCGCCCTGTGCTGCCTTATCAGAATGTAGCATTCAGTTGATTGCTCTGCGACAATAATAATAATAATAATAATATAGGTTAACTGAGGCTCCCCGAAGGGGGGCTTTTCAGCCACAATATAGTTTAACTAAGTGCTTGAAAATCCCCACTGGCAGGAGGCAGACCAGTGGGCTATTTATAGAGCGCCGACGAGGTGTTGAACTGGGGGCAACCGAGAGCAAATCCTATGAGTGACAGGGTGGAGGATTTAAACCCGGGACGCCGGATTATAAATTCATCACCCTAACCACTCGGCCACGCGGTGTTGAACCATTTCATTAAGCGTTACAAAGTGCATAAACATAATTTCAATTTTGTAGTTTTTGTTAATGAAACACTAAGGATTCTTTCCACGCACGTAGTCAATGGTAGGCAATGGTAGCTAATGGTAGTCAATGGTAGTCAATGGTAGTCAATGGTAGTCAATGGTAGTCAATGGTAGTCACTCTTATTTCAAGAGAGGGCTTTTCCGAGGCCGACGACCGATCAGCATTTGAGGGCATACGAGTTGATTCCCAAGATCTAAACATAAATTCTCCGAGCTGTTAGCCTTACATTTCCCTTAATTTTAGATTTGAATGTTTGGAGCTAAGTCTGGCAGACAAAATCCTCTCGTTGACGTCTTTAGTTTTTTTCATTACCTTTCTAAATGAAATGTATCGATATTGCAAGGAGAAATTAATTTTCGATCATTCCAGAAAGACAAAATCGAATTAACGCCTCCTTTCTTCCCTTTCTGAAATAGTTTGGAAATAAGGAGGAAACTTGTAGTTATATTGGCATTTTCTTTGTAATCTTTTGGGTTTAACTAACCGACACTTGTAACAGAGTGTGTCACATAACCATCATCTGTTTGATTTATCACAAGATTTCTAATGAAATGTAGAAATTATTCATGTAAAATTATTCACAAGCACACTCTTTCGATTAAAGACTATATTTCCAATTAACGCCCTCGATTAGGGACGACCTTTAGCCTGCGAGCACGCGCGCGTTTCCGTAGGTTAGGCGGAGAGGCGTAAACCGGTAATACAAGTGCGTTTGTGAGCGTTCGAGAGATGCTGTTACTTATGTGACACTCGTTTTGTTTACGTGACGCTCTTCAATATAACACTTTCGTCGGACCGTGTTATTGTGGGTGTCCACTGTCACGTTTTTGGCATTTGGCTACGTTTCAATGCACCGATCTTGGCTTCGGATTTCAGATGGGGATTTTTCCTTCACAGCTTGCCATTTTTGCTCGTCATTGATTCCGAAGTTGCGATCATGGAAAAAAAAGAACCCGACCAGGGAGGATACCTCCTTCCTGTTCTAGTTTGCTGTATGTTATTGGCTTGTGCAGGACTTGTGTTCGCTGTTTACACTCACAGAGAACTTTCCTTGCTCAAAACGCAAATCCGTGAACATGAGGAGACTATCCAGACATTACAGCTTTGTAAAAGTGCTCGCGACAATCAGGTTGGTGCCTTATTCACGCATGCACTCCTGTTTGATTTTTTTAACAAATTAACATTCTATTTGCTTCATGTTACTACATAAGTAATTGTGCTGTCTATTCAGGGATCAGAAGCAGTTCGGATCCGGAAGAACGCTCCAGATTCTTGCACTTGTGTTGGTGAGTGAGGCACTGTTCTGTTGTGTGACCGACTAAAGTGCATCTTCGTCAAAATGTGCGGCACAAAATTCCTCAGTATTATAATCTGTTCAGGTTGAGATTCGTATATCCCAGGTTTTCCATTTCATCCGTAGACGACAAAATACTAGGAAGAACGTGCACATTAAGTATAGTCGCAAAAGAGTAGGGAATACTTCAAAAAAGGTTATTCTTTCGCCTTAGGTGACACGTCGAAGGAGCGCTACCTAATGTGTCATTCTTGCATGAAACTTGCAAAGCAGTCAACTATTTTATCATGATCGGAGTTTTAATTTCGTGGCTTCCTCTTTCATTATCAGGAGCTCCTGGTAGACGCGGCAAGAAAGGGCCACCGGGCCCCCGCGGGCCTTCCGGAGCCCCCGGTCCCAGAGGCCCCCAAGGTATGCCTGGAAGTTTATCTTTTAGGTCACATATTGTATCGTTTTGAAAATGGCTTGCTATTTATTTCTAAGCAAGACTTGTGACAATCGCAGAGTGCTCAGACGAGTTTTGCTTCTAAATTGGCGGAACTATTTCTTTCTCGAATAAATTGAAGAATCATTCGATATTTGTTCTGCGTTTTCCTTTTGTTGTTTTGTGTTTTATCGTCCAGGTTAGGATGTTGGTCCTGTCAAGGATTCTTATCGGTCGCAATTACTGATCTTTAGATAACCTGGGTGGAAGTCATGACCAAATTCGAATGAAGAATCATTAATTATTCAAGCTTCGGAGAAATATCGAGTGAGGTCGCTCATGCGTGAGGGTCATGACTTCATTGAGTTCTCGAGTTCCTTCGTATCGACCTGTTAAGGCATGTTTCCTCTAGGATCACGCAACCAATCGATGTACTAGCAAAACACTTGAGCGTTTGTTAGCATCTGTCGTGTTATTTTCGCAAAAGCGATTATTAATCACAAGAAAAACCTTTAAACCACTCATAAACCTGGGTATAGAACTTCTCAGTAGATAAGAATAAAGTTAAACGAATTTGCCAGGAACGAAAGCCACGAGATGTAAGACAACTTTCAGATACGCAACATACCGTAAACAACGTGAGTAATCACCCTTATTTCAAGGTCGAATTGACGATTCCGTCAAAGTGAGTATTCCTCCCTGGAGATTTAAATTTGTCAGGGTATAGTTGATGTTCTATCGAGATGTTTCAAAAGAGCAAGTATATACTTTGGTACCCTTTAACGAAACCATGGATTGTGGCTCTGTTAAGGAAAGAAATAGAAGCAGCACAGCTGTTCACAATTTGACCCTGTAGCTTAGTTATAGAGCATCCGGAGCGCGGAATCCGAAGGTCTGAGGCTTGTTTCCTCTTGGGGATTTGTCGCACGCTCGTGACAAGACGACAAAAATCTTTCTCTATCTTTTATACTGAGCTCAAGACTTAACATCTTTCTTATTTTGATTAAAAATATTATTTCTTTTTCGTTAACATCTCGTTTTTCGTCTCGTAGGGCCACGTGGACCCCAAGGATATCAGGTGATTTATATAAATATGCGTTACTAACCAAGCGTGAGGTCAAGATGGCCGGATATTGGCCAAGTTCTTATTTGCATTTTTATGGACCTCGACTTCGTCTCGGCCATAAAAATGCAAAACAAGAACGAGGCTAATATCCAGTCATCTTGACCGAACAAGCTTGGTTAATAAAGGATTTATTATATCGCAAAAAGATTTCGCTTTGATAGGAATTGAGAATGACTTGTTTATTTCGAGAGCTGGGAAAGAAAGCCAACTGTGTTTGTAGCACAACAAACTCACATGTCGTTTCAGTTTTCTTTGCTTTGACTATCTTCTGCCGCTTTCTGCGTTTTCGTATTGCCGAAATTGTCCAAGAATTACAAAGGTAGTTCTAATTCTATTTTTTTTTTCATGCGCGGGATCAATGCGGGCAATCCCGAGCGGGCAAGATGGGCTCGTCTTACACGCTCGGGTAGCCAATCAGAACACAGGATTCGCCTTATCTTTCCCACGTGCGCTGCGAGCGATGCAATAAAGTTGATTATTGCGAAAGAAACACTTCATACAGGAATCCTTCACCAAATTGCTTCAAGCACCATTACTTTAGCTAATTATGTATTTCGTACTTCCTCATCAACAACGTATTTGTCATCTTTTAGGTCCATGAAAGCATTCATCTGGCTGGCAGTGGACAAAAGATAATCGCGTATCGATGTAATCAGTAAATTTTTTTAGTATTTTTCTATTTACCGTAGTAATCGTTCGATCAAAGCGATAACAATCTTAAATTCAATTTACTTATTCTAAAAAAGGTAAATTTTCCCGCGTTTTGAAACAAACTAGAAGACTTTATTTCCATCGGGTTCTATTTTTTACCGCTGATGATACGAACTTAAATGGGACAATCTGTGAACTGTGAGCCACATTTTTATTATTTTTCCAAACGTATTTACAGCCTCCCGCACTATTATGCACTGGAAAGTGAGCCACACAGAAGGCAGCATCGAATATCACCCGACCACCGGATTCATAAAAGTGAAGAGAAAAGGCTACTACTTCATCTACAGTCAAATGTACTATTATGATGGCTCCACCATGCTGATGGGTCATTATACCTGCATCAATAACAAAAATGTCATGGGAAGTGCCGGGAGTGTTATAAGTTCCTATCGGAAGTACAACACCAAGTATCATGGTGGAGTTTTCTTGCTGCAGGAAAACGACACCATATCAGTCCGCATACCCTACACTACACGTTACTACATGGATAGTGAGAGCAGTTTCTTTGGGGCGTTTTTACTTGGAGACCTAGCTCCCAGAGGTTTGCATACGCTCTTAATAAAGGCAACTTCAATCATACTTTTCAACATGTGTTAAGGCACTGGAGTGTGTTTGGTAGAGCTTAGTATCACAACATTTCGCTTAATTTTGTATCAAGATACGCAAAAACTCAATTCCCTGTAAGATTGGCTAATTAGCTCAATCGTAGAGGGTTCTGAAATCACAGAGTGACTTATTTCTCCATATTTAATCTTCATAATGGCCTGGGGATGTGTTTTCGTTTCAATCATCCCACTAAAAAACCGGCATGCTATAGGTCCACCTTTCTGTTTGTCCATATGTATGTCTGTCTGTTTACCTGTCTTTATGTGTCTCTCTCAGTCTGTCTGTCCATCCGCATGTATGTCTGTTTACCTGTCTTTATGTGTCTCTCTCAGTCTGTCTGTCCATCTGCATGTCTGTCTGTTTACCTGTCTTTATGTGTCTCTCTCAGTCTGTCTGTCCATCCGCATGTATGTCTGTCTGTATTCCTGTCTTTATGTGTGTCTCTCAGTCTGTCTGCCAACACCCCAGACCGGGGAACTCAAGGTCAAATACAGTTCTTTTAATTCATAGATGTTTCCCAATCAATCAATATTACTCGGCAGCCGGCTCTTAAGAGGCTGTCTGTAAGACTCAAATGATGTTTATTAGTTGCTTCAGACAATTTCTAACGTTTGGTGGCTTTGTTTGTTTCATTAGCTACCGAGTGTTAATGCTTCATGATATCCTTTTTCATTTTTTGGACCATCAGGAAAAATTGACCCGCAAGGTGTATTAGGGCCACCCGGTCCCATCGGTCCCCCAGGTAGTCATGATCAGATGTTATCTCCTCTGGCAGGGCTCATGTGTCCTTTTGTGTCTGTCTATCTGTCTGTCGGTCTGTTTATAGCTTTTGTGTCTGTCTGTCTGTCGGTCTGTTTATAGCTTTTGTGTCTGTCTATCTGTCTGTCGGTCTGTTTATAGCTTTTGTGTCTGTCTATCTGTCTGTTGGTCTGTTTATAGCTTTTGTGTCTGTCTATCTGTCTGTCGGTCTGTCTATAGCTTTTGTGTCTGTCTATCTGTCTGTCAGTCTGTTTATAGCTATAGTTGATACTATATAGACACTCATGGTTTGGAAGTTGTGAGATGAGGTACAAGTATTCCTCTTTAAAACCGATTTAAGTTTTATCTTAAAGTTGAGATGAATTTTTTTGTCTTTCATTTCTTAGGGCACCAGGCGATATCACAACAAGGACCCGTAAGACTTGTGATTTTTTTAGAACATCATTTACGAATATACCCTGAGATCATAGTTTTCACTACAAATGGACCGTTGGAATTAATTTTTGTAGTGAATATGTTAAACCCAAACGAAAAAACTGAAGAACAGGCCTAGTCGAAGACATTTGTGACGTTGACTTCCCTTTAAGTGTAAGAAATAAAGATATCACTTACAAACCCTGTCTGAAATTGCCTGCAAACACTATGCCTTTCGACAGGTAACTATGGTCTGCTAATGAAGGAGGCTGAGGATTTAAACGTAGCAGAAACATGTTTGTTTTTTGCAAGCTTAGCGGACCTACACTGTTTTTGACAGGTTGGAGAGAGCATCTACTTGGTCGGAGACGGCACAAGTCTCAGCAATCCTTGTAAGCAGCGGTTTATCATTACAAATATTTATAGGCCAATAGAAGATACCTTATCTTCTCTTGTATAAAATCCAATTACTCCAGCAGAACTGGAGACATATTCTCTGTTACTTGAAAATAGTTTCAAGCTTTTCCACATTTCCATTGTATGAAGTTTTTCTCACATCGTCTTGACGTCCTACAAGCTGGAGGGGGGGAGAGAGGGAAAAGAGTAGGTAAAGGGAGGAGAGAGATGATGGATATTTGATACAATTGTGTCACAGTGTATTCGTTGATGCATTAATAAGATTGTTTTTTCACACAGTAAGTAATCTCATAACCAACTGGGTTGTACGTAATAAACTGGGCTCCATTCACTACGACAGAGGCTTCATTACAGTCATCAAAGACGGACATTACTTCATATACAGCCAAATGTATTATCACGATGCTCGAACCTATGTGATGGCTCATCACACATACATCAACAATGAACTGGTGTTGGAAAGTGTGGGAAGCACTATTACCGACAACACGAAGTTCAATACCAAATACCACGGTGGAGTGTTTCTGCTCAAAACCAACGACACCATCTCTGTTCGTATACCGTACATTCGACATTACAGCATGAAATCTAGTGCCAGCTTCTTTGGAGCGTTCTTGCTGTATTCTGGTGAATCGAACTGATTTAACTGGAGGAAATGATGTCCCGGATGATAAGAGACTTCCTCAAAGCTTTCATTACCTCATTATATAGACATTAACATTGCTGCTGATTTGCGGGCGTTTTCACCGACTATGTAAAAAGGGTCTTGTCTTTGTATTTGTTAGAGGCTAGATCGGCTGAACGTGGATTGAAATTTATGTTCTCAGTCAAATAATTGCAATGTATATCAGAATACAGTCACAACTACGATAATGCTTACATAATCCGTCTAACTTCCCTTTTTATCCTATTTGTAGTGATCTTTTTATATCAAAACTCACCTTGTTTACTTTAATGCACAATTCGTCACATGGATGTTTCAAGTGACCATTCTCTAAAAACAAAAAAGGAAAATCCTGCTTACAATACAGTATCAACACACGAGGGAAAAGACCAGTTATTATAAGAATAGTCTACGGTCTAATTTCTGCTTTCATCTGTCAATATGTATCTAAGCGCGGGATACTTTGTTTTAATTTCACCAATCATACATTTAACTGTTACAAGACCGTCAAAAATTAGAATGACCAAGGCTAGTTTGGGCCGAAAGTTTAGGTTCGGGGCCTAAGCGTCGAATGAACCTTCAATATTGTTGTTTCTGTGGCTCTCATTTCGAGAACGTGGCGAATTTTGGGTATATTGTAGGTGCAGGAAGTCTCTCTATGTCACACCTGTATCAATGTTTTATGATCTATGTCACGATTTTACCATTTAGCTCAACAGCAAAGCGTTGACCACGTATTCTCGTTTGCCCTCATAAAATCTCTTGTGTACGTTTTCAGAATGTTTCTTATTGCCCTTTTTAACTCATGAACTGCGCGCATGCGCAGTGCAAGAGCGAGTTATAGATATGATGTGAAGAATGGCACTCGCTCGCTCGATTGGTCGATTCCTGTAAACTTTTTTTCGATTTTAGGCTTTTGAGTACATTTGATAGTTTTTGGCCAGTAATAAACAAACTAAATGGCGACCTTTGTTGCTAAGAATAGTGGTGGGGTGAAAAAGAAGCCAATGATAATCTTAAAAGAGTTTAAAACTACATGTTTTTCATCCGTGAATTAAAGTTTGCCCAATCCCCGAATACACTTTTTTCTCTTGCAGCGTATATTTTATTTATGGTGTCAATGCTTCTATTTTTGAATATATATATATATATATATGCAGGAAAATGATTATTGTGTCTGAAATAGAAAAAAAGAAAACAAAGAAAGGAAGTTAAGCGATAGGTACGTGTTAAGTTTTTACTAAAAAATGAAGATGAAAGATAAAAATCACTAAATATTATCGTAGGTGTGCAAATAGGCACGCGGGTCACATTTCAAAAGGAATGTGAAAATTTGTCCGTGAGCGAAGAGATCTCAAGTTTTATGGAAACCGTCAATAGGAAGCAAGACGAAAATGACCGATAAATATTTCGGGACGACCGTTTTATTCAAAACAGTTCTTTATTTGCTGTTATAAGCGAAAAACGTACGGATTTCTTTCGTGTAAAAAGCCCACGCGGTAAAATTCATCCTGCTTAGATCGTTGTTTACTTGACTTCACGGCCAGAAGATTGCGTTGGGTTGTGTTGAAAATTCTGAAAAACTACGATTTAACACAAAATCTTCGATCAAACTATACTTTTTGAACACATTGTCACTCGAACCAGTGATGGGCTCCTGCTCGAACATAATATTTACTGGGCCATGGAATCGTTCAAATTGTCGCTAGACCCTGCTCGAAGTCCGAAAGTTCGGTTTCCAATTTACGTCCATATTTCGCATGGCTTTAGAGAATCGTACTGTCGTTGACTCGAGAGGTTATTTTGTCACCTTTAACACCTTGATATCCATTATTTTCCGAGGAGAGTATTCTATAGCACTGCTACTTTATATTCTGAGTTCCTCAAGGTCTAACTCGATCACAAAGGACCGAAAAATACGACTTGAAAATTTTGAAGGTCGTCCGTGCGGACGCCATATTTTCAAATTTGATCATCTCATATGAACGCACAGAATGATGCTCCTCTAGTACCCCCTAAAGCAATCAAAATATATGCGCAAACGACGGATTCTGATTGGTTTATTGTTCTCCAAATTATAGAGGAAGTTTGGGGGGGACAAAATTCTCCTTAGTAGAGGAAGTAGGGGGGAAAGCGTTCCCGCTCGAGCCAATCGCGCGGTTCGGGCGGTTAAGGAAAACGAAAAATTTACTTTCGCGCTGCGGATTTGATCCAACCACTCCTTCGTAACAGGGAAAGTTCCTATGATTGTGACAGTACCACAAGGCCATCTACGGCATGACTCACTAGACAGCATAAGCGTAACAAGAACGCAACCTTTTGATAATCATATATATATATATAAATATATATATGTTTATCCTTATGTCCGAGCGTCCCGTCTTGCGCATATTAGAGAGATTTAGCAAGAGGACGGGAACGTCAGTTGACAACGGCGCGCGCAGCAAAAATATCGGTAAGAAACTGGGTCGAGAACGTCGCCCCGTTGTGTTTTAGAAGTGATTTAGCAGTCGTTACAACGAGACGTCAGCGCAATATCTGTTCTTCTCGGCTTTTCAAAGATCGCCAACACAAATTTTCGGTTTCACAAACAGCTTTAAGGACAACGAAACTATCCTCGTTGAAATTTATGCAACAAGCGCAAACAGAGGATAATTATTAGTTATGGAAAGTTAGATGTTAATATACGAACCACATGGGCGATTAAACTCTATAATTGATCCATTCCAGGTAAGACTCTTGTCTGTTGATTTATCTTTCGAATTTTAGAGCCCATTAGATATTTTTTTCTGCGATTTGTGTTGTTGTCATTTCGTTTCGTGCCATTAGATTTTAGCACTGCTCATCTTTCTTCGTAATTTTAAAAAGTATAATTGGGAAATTATCATCGTTTTTCCCCTTGTTTACTGAATATTTCTATTCATTCATGACGGTACATCTTTTTTGAACATTGAATACTTAGAGATGCAATACATTTTTAACGAGGTTATGGCGAAACCATGTAGAAGCCAATACTTAAATCAAGTACATAATGTTTTCCCGACTTGAGGCAGTCACGAACACGTGCGGTGAGGTCTGCTCGTTTTCCGCTTAATTTCAAGCCTCTACACTTTAACCAACGCTTCAATTGTGTGTTTGTATAGTCCTCTTGGTCTTGCTCTAACTTTGAGCCAGGAACACCGTCGTTTTGATTTAGAATACGAGCTTTAGAGCCGCTTGAACTAGAGATGGGCGCATCGTCGCCAATATTCATTTACTCGAGAAGCCTGTTTGTTTGTCCAAATCGCTCTAGGGGGTCAAAATTTTGTGACGTCACAAACGCGCAGCGCCATTCACGAGTTGGCTTACAGAGCCTTTGATTTGTAATGTTTTGCGGTGTTCCGGCTTTATTAGGTCTTCCTGCCTGCTTCAGTGTTTCTGATAATTTTGGTGTTCCGGCCTGTTCAGGTGTTCCGGCGTGTTCCGGTGTTGCTGCACACGCCTATCTCATGAGGGATTTTGTGTTTGCTTGCAAACGAATAGCTGTTACAACAACGTCAAACACAAGAGTTTTGTGTTTTTACCGACCAATTATTGTCACTGGATTGCCTTTCTTCGCCGAGGTCAAACAATATTCGTGCTACAGCTACTAATCACGCAGTAAATGCTTATAATTGTTCAGTAACGAAACAGTTCGGAAAATAAGCTTTTTCTCAGAGTGTGTTGGAGCTAAAAATGTTCCACATAACAGATATTCGAACTGGTTTTTCGGAGGTACCAGATTCATATCCGATTGACTACAGCTCCGATTTTTTCTGAGCTTCTTTCAATATCAATCAAAGCAGTAATATATGCGACTAAGAGGTGACGCACCCACTAGGCTATTCGCCAAAAAAACCTTAGGCGGGAGCTTTCTTACTCGCGCGTGGACTACTCGCCACCGAGAGCCTGCTAATTAGAAGATAAATATAGCGAGTCTCCGAGCGCTACCGATAGGAGCTGAAGCTATGTTCTTTCAATGCTTAGCTAGGGCCGGATGCTCCTCCACTGCGAAATAGAAGATTTATAATAGCCACGTTTGTGTAACAAACATCTAGTTCACTGCTAGGGTGAAAAAGTCCATAGATGCCTTTTCAAACGCCTCATATCTTCATCAGTTGTCAGTTCGAGAAGAGATATATCTCTGGTCATTTGCGTACCTCATGGCGTGCCTCAAGGGAGTATCCTTGGTCCTTTGTTTTTTTGTATTATTTACAAACGATCTCCCCCTTTATGTTAACTCTGGGAATATACAGATAGACTTGTACGCAGATGACACAACCCTCTCATGTTCTAGAGATGTATGTTCTAGAGATGTGGGACACTTAGACGAGCTTCAGGGTAACTTGCCGTCTGGTTTAAAGGATGTAGAAACCTGGAAAGGCACGAACAGACTGCCAGGGGACATGCAGGCTAAATTCAACTACGCCAGAATCCGGAATTTTTATTTGTTCTGTTATGCATAGCGAGCTATGTGTTACGTTGGTTATCGGATATTGTATTTGCCAAGAGACGTAACCAGATTTCCGTTTCAGTAGTGAACGAAGTTAATGTGTTGTGTACCCTTTTTAAACAATCAATTTCCCAGAAACATAAAGAGGAATATCTTTCAAGAAGTTCCCTGTTTTCTAGTTCAAACTTTTTAAAATTGACAAATAGCTCTTTGTTATTACGTCTCGATAGATCTTAATACAGTGGTTTTTATTCCTTTTCAAAACATTGCAAAACTTCAACCGGTTAGCGGTGCGGACCTAGAGCATTTCCCTGTATTTTGTTTATTGTCCGGTATCACTATCTTTGCAATAGTTTTATCCTTGAGGGTATACGTTCAGCTCTCTGTTATCAACAGGTTTATCACTTCCAAGAGGTTATTATTTAACGTCTGAACTGACTCACATGCAGGGATTTAGTCTAGACGAATAGCAAGGAGCAAATGATCTTGGAATGAAGCCAAAACGGAAGACCCTACATGCATTATCAGCTGTGTTATGAAAGTGCTGTATCATGGCCGATGTTTTTGTTTGCGTTGTTGCGCTTTACTCATTCATGCCTAACTGTCAGTGAACTCACTCAAGAAGGAAGCGCGACAGACAACGAAACTCAAACTTAAGATACAAATAATGGCGCGAAGATGAACTCGCAAATTTGAGCTTGAAAATTTTTCAGCGCGTGGAGCACACCATTTACAAAGAGCTTCCGTGGAATGCGGAGGTTGTCATTTTATAGCGACTTCCCATGATGAACAAACAAGTTTCCCTCTTCCGCTGTAACAATAGAAAAATGCTCTTTTCTGACTTGAATCAACTCTCAAAGAAAACTTCCATTGCACTGGACGCAAGTTGAGGAATTTTGCCGCAATTCCCAAATTCTAGCTGATGATATTCGATTTAAACCAATAACGCTCGAGCGAAAATATATGAACGATTTTATGACTCATTATCCCACAGAAACTTTTCTGATAAACCTCGCGTTTTTCGAGTTTAGGGGACGGTCTCCAAGATTTTGACAAATATTGGAAAGCTTTAGGCGGTAAATCATGCATAAATCATCCTCACTTGTATCTCCCTGATTTCACCTGAAATACATCCTGATCGAGAGGACTTCCCACTTATGGCCAAAGATGCAAAACGTTTTTCTTTCAGACGGAAACAGTAATGCATTGGTTATTGGGGATCCCACGAGTCAGGTTGATTGTAAGAGTAGCATAGGTTATGGTAAAGAAAATTGAGTTAACGTTGTTATGGTGAGAATCGATTACGATCGCCGGCATATACGGACATTTTTACAGATTTTATAAGACTTATGTCATCATCGCTATACCTAGCCTTCCCGAGTGAATCCTTCATTCCGCTGGGAAACTACACTGAAATCAAACACGTACTGTAGAAACTGATTTTAATCCTCCTCCTTTTTTCAAAACTGTTGAAGAATTTCATGATAGCTATTCCTGTGCAAGTCTACCATGAACTTCCTGTTTGTGTAGAAATGCGAATTTTTCGGCTCATTGCTTAAAGCGTCTTTGCTCTTGTCATTTTTCGTTGTGGGGAAGTGAATGAAATGAACACGTTGTTCTAGTAAGTGAAACCCAAATTTTACATGTTTGCATGCTGCAGTTTTTCAGTCATCTGTTCGATTATTGTTTTTTTCTTTTTTGTAAACGTGGGAATCTAAGTTGTTAAGTTAATTTCTACCGCAAGAATGACATCATGACTATTCTTGACAGTCCTCGACTGGCAAATTGGCCGCCTTAAAGAATTTCTAGATCTTTCGTTTCGAGCGTTAGCCCTGAATTAGAGCCTCGTCATTCTTTACGGTGGCCAATTTATGTTGTCAACTCAGTTTATAATACCAATTTACCTTGTAATACACCTTTCTGTTAAGATGTTATTTCAAACCCATTGTATATATTTAGATTTTTCAGTGTAAAGGCCAAAGGTGCAAACATTTTTTTCTTTTCAAGCGGAATAGTTGAAATAATCATAAATAAACTTGACTTCAATATCAATTCATTGCTCACTGGGGACTCCAATTCTGATTTTGAAAGCAACCTGGGCTATGGTGGAGAGACAAACTCAACAGTTTCCGATGGTGAGAGTCGCTTTCGATCGCACATACCGAAAATTTAAGATTCCAAAAGACAACACCCATTCTACCAGTGATAATCCTTTCTGAGATGAAAGACAGTTGAAATTGATATTACCGATAATCATCTAAAGAAGTGAGCAGGAGACAGAAACTCAAGAAGACAAAAAAAAAATTCCTGTCACTGACACTCAGTGTTTCCTTCTGAGTCGAAATCGATCGCACATACCGAAAATTTTCAAGATTCCAAAAGACAACGCCCATTCTACCCGTGATAATCCTTTCTGACATAAAAGACAGTTGAAACTGATAAAACCGCTAATCATCTAAAGAAGTGAGCAGGAGACAGAAACTCAAGAAGACAAAAAAAAAAAAAGACTTCCTGTCACTGACACTCAGTGTTTCCTCCGAGTCGAAATCGTTCGCACATACCGAAAATTTTCAAGATTCCAAAAGACAACACCCATTCTACCCGTGATAATCCTTTCTGATATGAAAAGCAGTTGAAACTGATATTACCGATAATCATCTAAAGAAGTGAGCAGGAGACAGAAACTCAAGAAGACAAAAAAAAACAAAAAAACTTCCTGTCACTGACACTCAGTGTTTCCTTCTGAGTCGAAATCGTTCACAGTTAAATAGCTCAGTTCGGCAAACGTTCCTTCAGTCCATCTACCCGTCCTGGTCAGATCATCTCAGCTCAGAATGGAGAATCCACAGACTATGAAGAGAGGCCCTTCTTACCAGACATCAGCGCGCTTGATATGTTGGTGTGTTTTCTTGTCGATCGTTGTTTGTCTGTCTTTTGCTTTCAGTGTCTATTCTTTCAAGCGTGTGTCGTCGCTTGATAAAGAATTTCACTCAAGAACTGAGACGAACAATTCAGGAGAGGAACAATTCGCCACTTCAGATAATAACGTGGCTGATGGAAAGGTTGGTGAATAGTTAACCTAGCCCTAACCAAAGTCTATTTCATCTAACCTAGCCACTGTCAAATCAGAGAACCACTTAAAATTACTCATCTAAGAGTTTCCAACGAAAAATAACTTGGGAAAAAGATGAATACAATGGCTGAGATCTTGACGATCGCGAGCATACGAGAGAATATCTACAGTGGATGTTTAGACCTTCCGATATTTACGGACGGCCGCTCTTAAGAATCATCGAAGCATACTATTCCTCTCGTAAATTGCTAATTTTTTTTTTAAACTGAACCCTGTCAACATAACTTGAGTCTAAGGCAAACATCATTTCCCTCAATATGAAAGAAATAACTGAACACCATGATAGTTCGCTAAGATGGAACACACCCAAATAAAGAGAACAAATAGAATTGAACAAGTTTGATTACAGTTGGAGAAGATAAAGTGGAAATGTAAATGATCAACTATCAGCTTACTATGTACTGAAATAATGGTGTTTTTGTCAAACTATTAAAGGAAATCATGATAGTTTTTCAAAATCAAGCCTACTTTGAACATATTGTTTACGAAGAAACGCGATTTGCTCGCATAGCTAAAAGTGCTTTGGCTCTGGATATTTTTTTCGTCAGGAGTTGAAAAGACATGGTAGCAGAAAACATCGCTCTCGTAAGTTAAGACCTATATTTTTTGCGTTGTTTATAGCAACATTTTTACGGAAATCATATCATTCTTTCCTAAGTTGCAGCTCGCTTCCTGTTTGTTTATTTCTTTTTAAACGTAGGAATCTTGAATAGATTACGTTTAATTTCGTTAATTCATATCCCCATTAATCGCGTCATGACTATTCTTGACAGTATATGACTGCACTGTAAGATTTCAATCCTTTCTTTCTTGTTTCTTTTCGTACACAGGACTCCCAGCGCAACGACAATCCTTGGTAAGTACGAAAGGGTAATTATAGCGCATCACTCCTCTGAATGAAATGGCAAGCCAGAATCGTTCGACAAAACACTGCCTCACAAAGTGTTGATAATTATAGTTTGATGTTTCTGTGTTTATTGTTACTTTCATAGTCTGCTGATCTGTGATACTACACTTTATTCATTCTTTAGTCTCCTGCCCGGCTGTTTTCTAATCTTGACATGCCCCGCGTTTTCGCGAGATTCATCAAAAGCATCGAGCGGGGCTAGTGATAATCATGATCAATTCGATCACGTGGCGGCGGCCGCGGAATTTGGCTGGCTCAGGTTGTTTTCGTAACCGTTTTTTCTTTGCCAGTGCTGGAGATATTATTGAGATCAAATGAACGCTCAAAGCACTCGAAAGTTTACCGAACCGTTACAATCTACAAATTGAAATCGTGCAGTACTTTACAGAGATTCGAGGATTCGGATCAATGTTACTATAGGTAGTGTCGGTCGATATGGCGACCAACATGGCGACCGACATGTCGACTGACATGTCGGTCGATTGTCGGTCGACAGTCGGCCGATAGTCGGAAAATAGTCGGTCGACATGTCGACCGATATACGTCGGCCGATAGTCGGTCGACAGTCGGTCGATATTTGACCGACACTTGGCCGACACTTGGCCGAGACTCGGTTGACACTTGGCCGATGCTTTACCGATACTTCACTGACACTTAAATGAAGCTTCAATGGCATTTTACCTATTGTCGAACTTATGGACGTGTTTTAAGGAAATCTTAACTGGATAAAACTTCTGCTGTTCTTCGGGGCATGGACTAAAACTAGAAACAACGAAACGACTGAAACAACCGAAACTGCTGAAACGAAACGACCGAAACGAAACGTCCAAAACAAAACCCCCGAAACAAGGGAAACGAAACCATGCCATGCTGTTCTGCTGTTCCTGCTCTGAGTTTTGTTCTCAGCACATTCATTCAAAGGGATTTAGCCTGTGTAGCTGGCGGTATTGTAAGCGCACGCGAAATAAAGTTTTGGCGGCGGAGCCGCCGCGAGGAGAATGGGGAGAGAGACTTTGAAATACCGCCTGCACGAAAACCATAGGTTTTTGAATACTCCGCACACCAGTGGGCGGTAGAAACGGATTGGTCCAGAGAAATACACTCGTCAATCAAATGTTAGAAGATCCCTCATGTATTTCCCAAGGGACGCTGAAAATTACACATGCATATTTGAAATGAAATGTGTGGCACTGAAGTTGTGCTATTAGGCACAATAGCATACTAAGGAACAATATTCGATGATCAAGCATTGAGGTAAAAACACATTTTAAATAAACGGATACCTTCCAATAGACGCATTTCACTTCTTGTCACTCGCCATTCGTTAAAGCGTAAGCTCTACGGATCTTTAGAACAAACTCCTCAAAGGACCCTTTCGAGGATAACACTTCAAAATTTAAAGAACGTTTGTGGTACAGAGGTTATCGAATCAATATGGTAGCAAAACTACTATCAGAAATCAAATAAAAAAAAAAAAGGAGTTTCGTTGAAAATAAAAAAGGATCATTTATACCAGTGTCAAACTTGAAAGAAGCTTTACACAGAAAATGGCACTTAATACAAAATTACCACCCTCAGCGCCATTTTTCTAGGGAAATTTTCAATAGTTACCACTCATATCCTTTAAAAGAAGAAAATCCCTTAGACATGCTCGTGAGAGCAAAGAACTGATTCAACAAAACTCTAAGAGGTTCTATACATGTTTTCACACAGGAAGGGAATCAGTGTGGCCTGTAAATCTTTGCCAATGAGGCGATAAAAGTGGGCGGCATTAAAAATACCCAAGTTCTCTGGCAGGCGGTATTTCTCGCGGCTTCGCCGCTCGCTTCTGGGGGCTTCGCCGGCAAAAATTTATTTCGCGCGCGCCTACAAAACCGCAAGCTACGCAGGCTAAAAGGGACTCGATTTACATTGTATATCAAAAGGCAAGCTTCCTAAAATGCCCAACTTTTTTCGAGAAGTTCTTTATCCCCTTATTTTTGCACTGAAAAAGCAGTAGAGGAAAACTCCGCCTTCGGTCTTCGGAAAGTTTCATCATGGGTGCTTACTTTTTCTTAAAGTGGGACGGTGACTCAAGGATTTGCGTTTATGAGGGTTTTCACTTTCCCGTTATTGTTACTTGCTTAACGGACTTCAAGTCGTGAGTGGCTCATGTTGTAGTAAATAAGTCACCCC